CCTCACCCGCCCTGTGCCGCAGACGCACCGAGGGCGGGGCCGCGGCCCAGCCAGCCTGCCGAGCGCACAGCAGGCACGCAGGCCTCCTGGGCACCGCTCCCAGCGCCTGTCGCTGCCGCTCCTACATCGCGTCCCCTCGCTGGCGCGCGTGTCCGCGACACTAGCCGGACAGAAAACCTACCCGGTGGAGGCGGTCAGCAGTTTTCTGACTTGCCAAGGCCACTGCCGCTGTAGCCTAGGCTGGCGGATTTTGGTGGAGGTGCCTTCGCAGAATCCCGCCGGGCTGGAGCAGCAGAAGCCTCGCCTCCTCCTTTAGCCGCTCCCGCGCAGGGCTCCCCTCGCTCTGCCAGGCCATGTGACCTGAGAGCTGCGGAGCGACTGCATCCCCCCCAAAGCTGGATCGGGAGTGGGGGTTGGGGGGAAGGCAAAAAGGCGCCAACTGATGGGCAGCGAGGGAAAAGCAGGGTCGCCCTCAAGTCAGGAGAACAGGATGACTGACCCTTTTGTAAGGGGGCTAAAAGCCAACGTTTTATTCCATCAGGTGGGCACACGGAGGAAATGTATTTTAATGAAACATCTCGCTTTTTGCGGATGCGTTTGTGTAGAAAGCTAGTTCTCTGCTTCTAAATGGGCTTCAATCTTCCAAAGCTTTCCGTTTAAATGCAAAAGTCCCTGGGAGACATAACTGGAGATGGGAGAAAAATATGTACGCTGGGGTAGAATAATCCCTGAAGTAAAACACAGGGAAACATAGGTAATGACTCAAGGAAGGAAAAAATGTGCGTGTCTAAGAGAAGGTAACAGCCAGCTTTGCACACTGGGCTCACCAGGATTCTCACCACAATGCATTTTCTGTGGCCTTTTTCATTGCTTCTAATTTCATACCAGCTTGCCTGTCTAAGGCAGGACTTAAATGAATATTTTGAGGTGTGCATATCATTCGAAATAAAGTTGTATTGTCTGATAATTATCATTTAAAGACTCTGGTTGCAAGTTGCATAATAGGAGGCACCAATAGAAATTGTCCAGTAATATCTACACTTCCTGTAACTGAGTACTAATTTGTAGGGCCAAAAAGAGGAAATTCCTTAAATAAATTATTTGATGTAATAATGAGAAGATCATCATCTTGTTCCTAGGTTTTCTAGTTGCTTTTTACTACAGAGGTAAACAAACCATCAGGATCACAGGCAACTTGGGGAGAAAAGTGTTTATTTCATCTTACAGCTTAGTCTGTCAGGAAGGGAAGTCAAGAAAGAATCCAAGGCAGGAACCTGGAGGCAGGAACTGAATGAAGGGGAGACCAAGGAGAAGTGCTGCTTACTGGCTGGCTTTCCATAGTTTGCTAGCCTGCATTATTACACAACCCAGGACCACCTGCTGAGGGGTGACACTGCCCACAGAGTGAGCTGGGCCTTCCTGCATCAATCATTGATCAAGGGAATGCCCTATAGACTTGCCCATAGGCTAATCTGATGAAGGCATTTTTCTCAATTGAAGGTCCTCTTTCGAGCTGACTCCAGCTTATGGCAAGTAGACAAAAATTAATTAATTAATTAGTTAACTAATTAATAGCGAACAAAAGCTACAAAGCACCAGCACACTGGGCATCTGAATTGCCTCCACAGGCAGATGGCACAATATATTGAGTACTATTTTAAGGAATATGCTAGATTCTTTAGCAGTGATTCTCAGGGATCACATATCAGATATCCTCCATATCGGATATTTACACGTTGATTCATAACAGTAGCAAAATTACAATTATGAAGTAGCAATGAAATAATGTTATGTTTGGGGGTCACCGCAGCATGCACAACTGTATTAAAGGGTCACAGCATTGGGAAGGTTGAGAATCATGGTTCTGTAGTATTTCAATATCTCTTCCTGTTGTCTCCCAGCTCGCATTGTATCTGTGCCTTCTGCAGAACATTCAATACCATCAGTGACTACTGGGCAATGAAATCTTGTGTTAAGATCACTGAATTCCAAATTATAGGTAATTTTCATACTTCCTTTAATTTAAGATGGATATTTTGGGCCAAGGTACTTATTTGGGAGAGCAAAGCAATCTAATAGCTGTTGTTTAAGTCTATAAATAAAGGTAGTGGGCCTGGCTGTGGACCAGGAAGGAAAATGCACACCCAGAAAAAGACCTATTCTGCCAGCATGAGTAGCTGTGCCCTCCATGATATTAGATGTACAACAGAATGTCACCAGGCGACTGGTTGGTCTCATAAGAAATACAGTTTTACAGGAATTAAAATTTAAATGTTGCTGTTGATGGCCTATACACTTAATATGGGTGGTATTGAGATCAGACTTTTTGAGACAAGTTCCTATTAGTGAAACCATTCAGAGCCTGTGTCCTGGGGGCATGGCTCTTTATACATGTGTCCATTTGAAGAAGCCTGAAGTGATCACAGAGAAAGCCAACCACCTACAAGAAAGGTTATGTTACCTACCTGATTTAGATTAATTTTTGTGTGATTTGTTGTCTAGTTTTATGTTTAGACATGTGTTTTTAAGTTTCTCCATAGTTAGTGTTTCTCACTGTATTTTATTTCCAGTTCTTCTGAGATCAGAAAACTCACCTATAGGATTTCATTCATTTAACTCTGTTAAGAATTTTTCTTTAACAGTCTGGCATAAAGCCCTTCAAGAGGAATGTTATATGTGGTCTTGAAGAGATAGCATGTTCTGCAATTGTTTAGTTTTATAATGGTTTCATATTTGAAACCATCAACTAGATTCCCATCAGACATAGTGTTATTTCCAACTTCTTTTTTGGTATTTTCTTTCTTCCTTCCTTCCTTTCTTTCTTTCTTTCTTTCTTTCTTTCTTTCTTTCTTTCTTTCTTTCCTTTTTGTTCTGTCACCTATGGAAAACTGTTAAGATCAATGAAGTTTGTGCATTTACCTGCTTCTTCCTTTAGTTGCTCAAGTTTTTGTTTCATATATTCTTATTGCTCTTCAATTAAGCATATGTACACTCATGATGGTTCTATCTTTTACCCTTATGAAGTATCTCTGTCTTGGGTAATAATTTTATAAAGCATGATACTAAACCAGCCATTTCTGCTGTTCTTTTCTCTTGACATGTCTAATAAGTTACAGTGAAATTGGGTGTTGCTGGTACTCCACGGCAGCAACTCTGAATTCTGATGCTTTCTCTGATGTCTGTTGGGTTTTGGTCTAGTAGACAATTTACTTGTCTGAACTCACACTGTGTGTTTTCTGCAATAGCTGATATCTCTGGTGACTTTTTTCTTCTCGTTTACCCTCCCCATCCAGCTTCTGTTATTTTTGCATATGCTCCCCCACCCCCCAGGGTCTCTTTCCTGTATTTAAGTAGATTTGTGATCACCTGAATATTTGAGCACAAATTAAATCCAGCTTTCAGGATTCCGTTTGTTTCTGTGTTTTCTTGTTTTTACAGTTCCCTGTCTAGCTTTCTAGGCTTGCTTCCACTTCCAACTGATGTCCTGATACTTCCACCGAGAAGGCTTCAGCTTGGAGCTGCCTGTACTCTGTCCACTTGCACACACACAACAAAGCAAAAGTATGAATCTCACCCAGGAGCTTTTGTCTTTCAAACGTAGACCCTCTCTGATGTGTGTCTGGGGTATTGTTTTAGTTGTTGGCCATCTAGCCAGGGCATTGCCAATGAGTGAGTAGTTCTGCGGTCAGCAGGGGATGTGGCCACAGTTTATTCTAAAACTGTGAATCCGACTAGTTCTGCTGCTCTCTGGCTTCTAGCATTTTGCCATCATTTCCCAGCTCTCTTCTGGCAGTGAGCTGTGTCTCAGCCATCTCATTCTTGTTAACCCTTTTTTCTGCTCCAATAGCTGTGAAGATTAAAAAATAGGAAACAATCAAAACAAAAGCACAAGCAGGAGAGGCCATGTTTTATTATAGATTGAGTTTGATATGTCCTTGAACACTTGGTCCCCATTGGGTGACAATATTTGGATAGGTTCTGAAAGCTTCAGAATTCGGGGCCTATTTAGAGGAGGTGGGTAACCAGGAGCTGGCTTTTGAAAGTTATACATGGTCCCAAGTCCCTCCCTTGTTTTTCTCCTCTTAAGTGGTTTATGTGTGTCATTCTGTCACAACGTGGAGAAAGTCAACTAGTACAGAATTTATCAAGTAGCTGCCTCCTTTAGATTTTCAGTTCCTTTTTGCATTTGGCCAGATTTTATAAAGGACATCTGTAGAGAGTTTAATGTGTGAATCCACTCTACTCTTATGAGAAACTGCAGTATTAGTTATTTAGATATTCTATAATTGCCATCTATTTTC